TCTTAAAATAGGAAGACCTAAGCACATTATAGAGACAGGAGACAAACGATCCAGAAAGAAAAACTGAAAATGCTAGAGACACGTAATCATTTATGAAGTGAAGCCCAAAGGGCCTCAGTATTTCTCATTATAAATATCATGAGGATTTAAGAGACATATTTAAAAAGGCACCTTGACTAAAGGTATAAGACAGAATGTATATCTTTAAATATAACTTTGAATACATATACACACACACTTTTAAACATTTCTTCTACAGAATGCATTTTCCTTTAATGCCTATAAGGCTTTAAAATATTTAGCTTCTCTTTTAGAGATCCACCTACAATTGCCCTCCTCCCTCCATTTAAATCGAAAACTTTAAGCAAAATACAGAAAATATATAGAATGAGAAAAGATTATAAATAAGCAAAGGCTTTTCTTTTTAATAACATTTGTGTCTAAATTTCATTTTTGGATTAATTGGCAATAATTAATTTCCATGGGGAAATGATACTAGCAGATGTCTATAGATCAACATGAAAAAATGTCTAAATATTGAGAGAAAAGATATATATTATAAAATAGTTTGGAGATAAATATTTGTATATGAATAGAAAAGGTTGATATTGATAGCAAATGGATTTCTTACTTTACATCCATCTTTATAGAGCAACTATTATGTTTCAGACACAGGGGATTAAAGAGTAATCAAAAAAGAAATTTAATATTCAAGGCGTAATGGGATGTTCTCATTTCAATTCAATTTGCCTTAAAAAAGGAACAGAATTCAGATCTACAGAGCCAATCTGCACTCTATCATTAAGCACATCCTATCTGTCGGTGAAATGAGTACCAATACAATGAGTTAATTTCACAAAGATTTCTGTAAAGTTTATCAGTCTAGAATATAGTTATATAAAATCAAAATACATTCATTTAAAGAATATTACACATTTCTAAGGAAACAGAAAATGACTGTCCAACTGCCAAATAACTGAAAGTGCCTTGTCAGTTAAAACACAACCCAATGAATTTAGTTAGGACTGAAGAAATAATTCCTTAAGAAACCATTCTCCTTTTCATTTTCTTCATTATTCCATAATACCATCTCTCAGGGGCAAATATTCCTAAAATTAAAAGTTATAGACAAAACCCACAAACTTAAGCTTTATATCAAAGTCACCAAAAAATGGGAACCACGAGATACTTGGGCCTGCCTCTTTTTGAAAAGGGCACTGAGAAGAGATGGAACAGGATAAAGAAGATTCACTACCATTAACAAGGGAATCTTGATGCTAACAATGTATTTGTTTCTATCCTGTAATTCTCTGCATATCAACATTAATCTGAACATCGAACAACTATTCTTAAATGATCTCCATTTCTCTGCAATGTCACGGTAGTTTCCTTTCTCCCACTAAACAAAGAGTGCTATCCAAATGGAGGACCAGAGGTATGTGATAGGAGGTGATGTTATGGGGAGGAAGCAAACTAAAACCCAACAGGAACCATCATGACTCAGTACCCTTCACCTTTCTGCAGCTTTTTATTCCTCCATGGGAAGAGAGAATAAGGGAAAACAAAAACAATGGAAATAAGGGAGAGCTGAGATGTACTGTACATCTACTACATCCACCTTTTTACCTTTCTGCAGCTTTTTATTCCTCCATGGGAAGAGAGAATAAGGAAAAACAAAAACAATGGAAGCAAGGGAAAGCTGAGAGCTATTATACACCTACTACATCCCAAGCATTGCAAAGTATTATTGCATTTAATCTTCCAAGAGTACAGAGGATGACTCTGAAGTCTGGGCAGGGTTGACTTTCAGCAAGTAAGTCCTATGGCAGCGATGAGAACCCAGTAAGTGATTTAAAACCTGTGCTCAAAATGTTTCTGACATCACTCAACCTCTCTAACAATAATAGCAGTTATTGTCCCAGCATACAATCCTTTTATTTTCTTTTATATAAAGAAAAACCTTTTCATTATGGAAATTTTTAAAATCCTATATAATAAAAGGTTAATAAGCAAATCAACCGACCAGTGGAACAACCAGTCGCTATGACGAGCACTGACCACCAGGGGGCAGACGCTCAATGCAGGAGCTGTCCCCTGGTGGTCAGTGCACTCCCCCAGGGGGAGTGCCGCTCAACCAAAAGCTGGCCTCACAACTGGCGAGTGAAGCTGCGGTGGCAGGAGCCTCTCCCGCCTCTGAAGCAGCGCTAAGGATGTCCGACTGATGGGGAGCGGGCCTTAGCCATCAGCTGGACACCCCCCGAGGGCTCCGAGACTGCAAGAGGGCGCAGGCCGGGCTGAGGGACCCGCCCAAGTGCACGAATTTCATGCATTGGGCCTCTAGTCTTCTATAATAATAAAAGCATAATATGCTAATTAGACCAGAGAGCCAAACGTCCTTCCAGACAAAGCTATGGCAGCTGCGAGGGCCAAGGGCAGGTGGCAGCTGCAAGGGCTGAGGGCAGGCAGCTGCGGTGGCTGTGAGAGCCGAGGGCAGACAGCTGCGGCACTGGCAGCAGCAGTGGCAGGATGATGTGGGGGGCACCTACACCTGATCTGCCTGGTTGCCTCCCTTAGAGGTAGGCCAGACTGCGGCTTAGGGCCACACCCTGCAGGGAGAGGGCCTAAGCCATCAGTAGGACATCCCCTGAGGGTTCCTGACTCTGAGAGAGGGCAGGCCGGGTTGAGGAACGCCCCATCCCCGGTGCACGAATTTTCATGCACTGGGCCTCTAGTATATATATAAAAGTAGAGAGAGGAGAGTGTAACAACTCTGGGGTGGCCATGGCTCAGCTTCACCTATATGTCATTGTTGTGTCACCTACCTTTTTTTCTCCCTGAAATATTTAAAAACAAATTTAAGACATTTCATTTGACTTCAGAGTATCTCTATCAAATTAGATCTTTAAATAATAACATTATCATACCAAAAAAACAATCATTCTTGACTATTATTGAATGCCCAATTCTTCTTAAAATATCTCTACCTTAAAAATATATTTTTGTAGTTGGTTAGCTTAAATCAAGATACAAACAAGATATACACATCACTTTTGGAGATGTAGCTCAATAAAGAATGGGACAAAAGTAAGCTTATAGTTGTGAGTACAGGATTTTATTCTTGTATTATTATTTATTAATTATTATTACCTTATTTTCCATACAAACAACTGTAAACTTACTTTAGCCCACCCTGTATATGACAGTTCCTTCCACTTCCTCCCCTTTCTTTTTATAAATGGCATTTCTATACAGTGAGACCTCAAAGACACTGCGGGTTTAGTTGCAGTCCACTGCAACAAAGCAGGAAGCGCAATAAAGTCAGTCACAATCTTTTTGCTAGTGGAGGTTCTTGCTTTCAATTTGTAACAAAATGCCACCTATGTGAAGTGCAGTAAAACAAGGTATTCCTACACAGACTTTAGGGTTGACAGCATGTGTTTCTCTAGCTCCTTTCTTCCCTCGAACGGCCGTGGGCTTGATTACACTGTGGTTCACCTTTCTTCATTGTTGTTGCAAGACTGCTCAGGTGGTACTGTTTACTCTGTACTGCATCACCTCAGGAGGCATTTGATATCCACTTGTTCTCTATTAGAGTTACAGTAATAGTGTTTCTAAATCACTGGGTATTTTCGTTCCTAAAAGCTTATCGGATACCACATATTCACGACAATGTGCATGTGGTGACCAAGCTACCAGGTTAATCCAGAGTTAACAGGGGCAACAGAAGTTATCAATTAATGGTCAGAGAAGCAGGGAAGGAATTGTTCCTTTGGTAGATAAGAGGCAAAAAAGTAGAGAAGGATTTGACTATAGACGGAGAGGAAGCCAGAGGACAAATAAGATGTTCAAAGAACAAGATACTAGGTTCCAATTACAGTTCTAAAAGATATTTTACACACTTGTACCAATAAATGTTTCCAAATAAATTCAGAAAACCCAAGAATTCTTTATTTTATGATGTTAGTTTACCAAACACCTTATAAAAATTTCCACCTTTCTTGCTTAAGAGCAAGGTGCTGCTCTCTAAGCCAAAGGTTCCTAACTAGACTACAAAGTGCGTTATCCTTGGAACTTTAAACTACTGAGACATGGCTCCCACCCAATCAATTCTGATTCATTGGGTTTAAGGCAGTGGTTCTCAACCTGTGGGTCACGACCCCTTTGGGGGTCGAACGACCCTTTCACAGGGGTCGCCTAAGACCATCGGAAAACATATATATAATTACATATTGTTTTTGTGATTAATCACTATGCTTTAATTATGTTCAATTTGTAACAATGAAATTGGGGGTCACCACAACATGAGGAACTGTATTAAAGGGTCTCGGCATTAGGAAGGTTGAGAACCACTGGTAAGGTGAGGACCAGGTATTATTTAAACAGTATTATTCAAAAGTCTTTCCAGGTGACTCTAATAAGTAGCCATAATTGAGAACCACAGCTCTTAGCTAAGGTTAACAATAGCTGCAATATGTACTAAGCATTTGTTGTATTTTATATACTGTTCTAAGTACTTTAAATAATGAGTTCATATGCTATTTTATAAGTGAGGAAACAGAGAGGTCAGGTAACTTGCCCAGGGTCACAGAGCAAGCTAAGAGCAGAGTTAGGATTAAATATCAAGAAGTTTGGATCAAAAGCCCTTGTTCTTAATGACCATGATATACTGGCCTCCTAAGCATAAATTATATTTGTATTCTTTAATTGCAAATAAAATGATCAAAGAAAAAAAATTAGATAATTAACTTTCTCCTTAGAAATATTACAGTGGCATTTTGTTGCAAGGGTACGAGCACAGGCTTGTTACAAAAATAAATAAACAAACAGATAAATATTGTCTCTTCCCAAAAGATTCAAATTTGAGATTCACACAGGCTTTCAATAATTTCCCACATTATTATCCATATAGTAGTTATTCAATCAGAAGTATCAAAAATTGCTTTAGTTGTAAAACTCAGGCAACAATGTATTACATGTACATTTATAAGAAAATTTCCTACCTATTTCAGTTCTGCTAAGTCCAATTCCATTATAAATTCTCAAGTAATTTAAATGACAAGAATCAGAATCTTCAATGTCAAAGTCACCAAATTTGATGCGCAATCTTTCTCCCATCTTTACACGAATCTCCCATTCACAAACGGTGCTGTTGGGATAGGTCTGTGGGTAGTTTATAGACATAAGGGTTCCACTTTCAGGGCCTAGTACAGTGTGTCCACATCCATCACCTTTAAAAAGAGTTAAAAGAACAATAAATTATTCTTACATCTTTAACTTAAACTGTAAATACACAGGATTTTAAAAAATGTATTCTATTATATATTTTATACTACCAATACTTTCTTTACACAAGATAAAAAAGATGACATAGTTCTTAGGATACCTATATACAGGAGCCAAGAGAGCAAGGTTAGGTAAAAATAATCAATAATTAACTTTATAATTTTTGAGTTCAAAGGACCTCCAATCTGAATTAGAAGTAAACATAATTTGGCAAAAAATATATATACATGTCATAAATCCAAACTTGAAGAATATCAATTCATAGTAATTATTTTTTAATATATTTCTTTATTGATTTCAGAGAGGAAGGGAGGAGAGATAGAAACATCAATGATGAGAATCATTAAGCGGCTGCCTCCTGCATGCCCCCCACTGGGGATCGAGCCCAGGACCCAGGCATGTACCCTTGGCCGGAATCGAACCCGGGACCCATCAGTCCGCAGGCCGACACTCTATCCACTGAGCCAAACCAGCTAGGACCATAGTAATTATTTAAAGTGAATGAAAACTATAAAAATGAAAGTATGTGACTAGTTTCACCTATTCATTTACAAATATCACAAACCTCTTCTAAAATCTGTGAGGTGAATGATTTCTGAAAGTACTTACTATATACTAAAGATAATGCAATCACTGATTATATGACACACTGCACGGCATGCCTTCTTGAAGGCATTAAAGCAATATTTATTGAAGTTTAATTTTATATTCTACTGAAATTCGACTGTTTAGTAATCCCTCTGCAAAAGCCTCATTGTTTCCCTACAAAATGATGAGAAAATGTTTATTTAAAGATTAGGGGAAATGACCTTAATATCTTGGTAGTAGCATTATTTGTTCTAGAAATTTCTTCAGAAATTGGATATGAAAACTCAGGTAACCTAACACATTGTTTGTAAAAATAAAATATGTACATCCGTTCCTTTTTTATGAAATGTGTTATTTTACTGGGCAGGAGACATGCATTATTGATGAGAAGGGTTTCAGCTGCTGCTCCGATTCTACAGTTTAGCATTCCTTAATGACAGGATTCAAATACATTCTTTTTAATAGGAAGATTAATACATCTTTTTAAAATGATAGTATTTTCCCGTTCAAAAGAGCTATTGATAATCATTGTTTGGAATAGTTTGGTGCTTGCACAAAAAAAACAATATTGAAAGTGACACTGCTGGGTTTTAATCTTAATATGGATAGAGATGGCTGTCATAGAATGTTCTGTTATCTTACCGTTATCTTGAAATATTATTTTTAAGAACAATGTAGAACTGGTATCATTTAGTAGAACAGATGAAAGCTTTAACGGCCTATGAATAAGAACTTAACATAGTATCTAGCAAGTAGTAGTTGCAAAGTAAATGTTTATTAATCTACTAGAGGCCTGATGCACAAAATTCGTGCAGGAGTAGCCCTTCCTTCCCCCGGCTGCAGGCACTGGATTCCCTCTGGCACCCAGAACCTGGGCTTCCCTCACAGCCCCAGCTTCATCCAGAAGGTCGTCCGAAAGGACGTCTGGTCTAATTAGCATATTACACTTTCATTATTATAAATGAAATAATTTAAATCTTGTCTCAAAACTACCTTTAATGAAGAAACAACAGCTCTGGACCTAGATTCTGATGACTATGCTTCAAATCCTTTGTTGATAAAGAATTTTTATTCTCAAATCCATATGAGTACTGTTACTTAAGCTACTTTTAAAGGTTAGTCAGTATTTACAATCTGGCTTCCTACGTAAATCTCTCTCCTATAAAGCTTAGCTTTTAATCAGTGTGAAACTTTACCTATCTTCTACACCTCCTTTCATCCTATACACAAGAACTAGGCATACCAACTCAATAATATAATAATGCATAAAGGCACCATAAAATAAACATGTGAATTTTTGTGTGATACACCCACTGATATTTTGCAAATATAAAACTTAGAATGTGATACAAATCAGAGAAAACAGACACACACACAAATTTTTCCTGAAACTATCATGAAAATACCTTGAATATCTCTGTTGGAGATCATCTAAACTGGAAACATAGGAATATAAAACCCTCACTGTGAAAATAAATGAATTATAATGTAAGTAACTTTTGAACAATCATTAACATTTTTCCTTAGAGAAAAAAACAAACAAACAACTACCCTAAGATAGAGTTTCTAACATGAAACTAGTCTGAAATGTTCTCTTATCATTGAAAAGATAAATACATGCTTTCTGGAAATGTTTTGATCTTTAAAATGTAGCCACTGAAAAAATGAAGTAACTCAAAATATAAATGTATTTCTTTTAGGAAACAGAAACTAAGGCAGCTTTTTCCGTGGCTGGAAGTGTTGATGGATTTCAGAAAGCCAAGAATTTCCTATTAACAGCTGAATTCTTGACTTAGTAATGGCAGGTTGCTGCATTTAATGTATTCCCCATAGGCTGTTACTTAAGGTTGTGATTTTAAAATGGATTTTACAGAAAGTATAAGCAGAGTGTTAGTAGTAATTTTTGTATTATGCTCATATTTCTGTTTGAGTCTCAATAATACACAAAACATTTCTTGTCCTTTCCTCCATAAAGCATATACTTTCTACTTAAATTAACACAATAAATACTACTTGATGAAAAACAGGACTTTAGTGTGCACACTGATGAAGAGAACAATTAAATGGAGCTCTCCTTTTTCAGTATCTTGTGTAGGGGGAGGGCACCAACAGTCCACAAGTAATGTGCCAAGAATGTTTTAAAATATGTGATGGAGTTCAGAGCTTCCTCCTCTTGCAAACAAGATGATATGCACCAGAAACCAAAGTTAAAAGTCTTAAGTCTACTGCAATGAACAAATTTGAATGCTGCATATTTCAAAGACTACTTGATAAGTTTAACCTGACTAGATAAATAGCTTAGCTGGCCAGGATGAACACCTACTGCTGAGGTATATGTTTAGAATATTCTAGTTAGAAAGGGAATGCTGGGCTTATACTCATTAGACCAGTTTGCAAATGCTTTTCTCTGTTATTTTATATTTTGACTAGCATGTTACAGGGCCTTGACTCACTAGAGTCCCAACCTAATGCAGTCTGAAAAAAACAACACACTGCACTAGGCATCCAAAGGTCATAATGTTCAACTCTACCATCAAAGAAAGATCTTGACCTCACTTTTACCCCCAAATTAGAAAAAGTGCTCCCAGGTTATTTTTACAGCTCTTAAAAGTAAAGCCTATTCTATACCAAAATACTTAAAATATTATAAAGTAAAACCAAAATATGGAAATATTCTTTATCAACAAATCACCAAAGTACAGCGTGGGGCAAAAGTAGGTTTACAGTTGTAAGAGAAACAATAGTTTATTCTTGTATTATTATGTTTGCCTCACCCTATACTTAGAGCAATGGTTCTTAACTGGGGTGGGGAGAGGCTGCCACAGGAGTGATTGTACCTCTCATTTGGCCATGTCTGAAGACATTTTTGGTTGTCACAACCAGAGGATGGGGTGCTACTGGCATCTAGTGGGTAGAGGCCATGGATGCTGCTAAAACATCTTACAATGCACAGGACAGGCCCCTAGAATAAAGACTGGACCATCCTAAATGTCAACAGTGCCTAGGTTGAGAAACGGGACTTAGAGCAAAGATTAGAAGATCCGGGTTAGTTCTTGGCTGGGTTTCATTTGGCCCAAGAGTTATGCTGTTCTATATGCTATGGGTACAACCCAGGAAATAGTTTCTCCTCAGAGGTCAGCAGTTATACTAAAGAGTTTTATGTTTACACTTCCCAATTTTTCAAACAAATAAATGGAATGTTTTGTTTTTAAGTTAAAGAAAAAAAATCCTTTTTATTAGTCTATACAACCCTCAAATGACTTTTTCTGTTGCTAATAAGGTTATGAGTAATAAATAGTCCCTAAATTTTCTGCTTAGCTTTGTATACTGGGAAGAATAATGATCTATGGCCAGGCTGTAATACCTACTCTTACTCATTTCACAAGGCAGAAATGACAAAAAGAGCATAGCTATTACTGGAAGCATAGCTTTCCAAATGGATATCATAGGAGCAAGCCATACACTCTCATCAACAATTCCAGTATCACCAATTCTTTCTCCTTCACCACCCCCACCAACACCACCACCTGTCAACTTCTCCTTCTCTAGAAAACTGTAACTGACCATTTTAAAGGTAGAAGCCTGATAATGTAATTTCTGAATTTTACTTTAGTGGAGAAAAAACACTGGAATTTGATCTTACTGCTCCTTTGCTTGGCTGCAGATTTAACCAGGGGATTACTCACAGAACATGTGTTCACTTCCTCTGAAGAGTGTAAGGTCATATGTGTTAAGCCAGATACAAATTTTGATATTGTTCCAGGAAAATAACTGAATATTTTTTTCTTTCGCTTCTTATCCCCAGAGAAACCAAAAGGAACATTAAACACATTTAAATGACAATGAATTAATACAACAAAGAACACATGGCTTATTTTAGGCTGCTCTAAACTTGGAATCAACTGGGGTTTTTTGATAAACATGTGCTTATGATGCTGATTTCATGCGACCCTCCAACCACCCCCATATATTAGTCACATTACTACTAATAAATAATGTAAATTCTTTTTTTAATTATATTAAGATGAACACGGTGTACCTTCTAAAAATACTTTAACAATAGCAAATACAAATGCAGAAAGCTTGCACATATGTGAAAACTGTAGAGCAATGAAACTTTCATTAGAGTCACTGTAAACTAGGAAAGGTTTATACTTTTCCAGTGGGTGTTCAAGAATTTCTTTACCACTGTGAACTAGTGTGTCTGATTTCACTTCGTCTAAGTGTCACTTCTGTCACGTCTTATAATACATCTGTGAGACCTTATAATCAACCGAAAAAGAGACAATTAGAGAGTAGAAAGGTGTTCAAAAGAATAACTTCCAAGTCTTAACTAATATATCCTATTTCATTTGGC